CATATACTTGAGCAGTATCTACTGGCCCTTTTATCTCTTAATTAATCACATATACGCAGATATCTTTTTTATACTGCACTCCTGTAACACTTAGCACATATGGTCTAATTACACTCTGCCGGCCATGTCAGAATTCCTGCCCGTGTTTTCTGTGGTGTTCATCCTCATTGTGATGCCCCTTCTCTCTTTTAGTTTACCCCAGATTTTAATTCAAATGACATGTGGGATCCAAACCTTTGAGGTTAACGCCTAAAACCTGTCAGCTGTTCTCTATCAGCTTCCATAGAGATCCAGTCCTGCACCAAGCAAAAGTGGTGCTCCCTTGACTTGGTGTGCTTGTGGCAGGCACAGTGCTGAGGGTGACAGTCGCAGCAATAAAGTACATTTTCTTTTTAAAAGAGGAACCAGAAAGGCTCATATGGAAGCCAGCTGAGTGTCAGGATCTTACTGTATTGAGGAACCACTGCCTTTGGTGAGTCTTGCACTTCCTCTAACAATATGTAAAATGGATACTGCTCTGATACCAGAGACATATTTGTCCAGATATCAGTACAGTTACCTTTGCTCTCTCTGCTAAATATATTGCTGATGTCTAGTTGGCTCAGGGCCTGGCATACCAGCTCAGGGCCTGATCCAGCTCCCTTCAAAGTCAATCAAAAGTGTCCCACTGAGTTTAAAGGCAGTTCGATCAGGCTGACACTGCCCATTCCATGTTATTTGATAAAAGATCTCACAGCATTTATAGGTCTCCTTTGCAATGCCTTCAGCGTGCTGACATGCCCTACCACTTTTATGCTATTTCATTCCTGGGGACTGAGGACATGCCCTTCATGGAAATCTACATTAGAAGTATCTGAACAGTCCAGATTTTGGAATCACCATATGTATGACCTCTCTCCTCTGTAGTGATGACAAAGCATGTATCAGCAATTTTACGAAGAAGGGGAATTTTACTTCCCCTTCAAAAAAATTTTTTTTTTGGTTGAGTCGAAGCACCGTTACTCAGTCTGTACACTGCACACATTCTGTGCTCTGTGATTTGTGGGTTTTCAAGCATGTAAGGACTCTACTCCATAACCTTTTCTCTTCCCATTTCCTGAGAGGATTTTTCTTTTTTGTCTACCATGACAATGACAAACTCCATGGTCTTCACTTCAGGTTAGGGATTCTGAGCTCAGGTGTCTCCTTCTTCCAGGGTTCTCTTGGTAATTAGTGGGTTGTCTCTTTTAACTCTGCTATATTTCTGGTTTCCTTCACCTTTCTGACCTAGATGTCCATGTTCTCTTTGGAGCTAATTTTTGCTTCCTACCAGTTATTACACTCCTTTCGTGTTGGTGTGTTTATTATCTGTGATGTTTATATACATAGTCTCTGTTGCCTCTTTTGGACATAATATTAAGATTCTTACTGGGATTTATGCATTTATTACAATGTACAGTCATTTTGGCATTCCAGGGAGTGTATTAACTTGTGCTGTAAAATCTCCCTTTAGGGGGATTCCAGGGACAGCTGCAGTCAGGAGAGAACCTGGAAAAATGGCTCCTGCTAAAGCCATGGTCTCTAGGGACCAGCAGGAGCACATTACATGAAAAGTATTCCTTGTATCTGCGCTACTGCTCTCACCTGAATGGTGTAAAATGAAACCATTATTAACTGCAATGAATAATGGAGTGTCCATTTCCTGGACACTACAGTGCTAATAAGCGATGGTCACATAAACACCACCCTATACCGCAAACCTACTGACCGCTATTCCTACCTACATGCCTCCAGCTTTCACCCAGACCACACCACACGATCCATTGTCTACAGCCAAGCTCTACGATACAACTGCATTTGCTCCAACCCCTCAGACAGAGACAAACACCTACAAGATCTCAATCAAGCATTCTTACAACTACAATACCCACCTGCTGAAGTGAAGAAACAGATTGACAGAGCCAGAAGAGTACCCAGAAGTCACCTTCTACAGGACAGGCCCAACAAAGATAATAACAGAATGCCACTAGCCATCACCTTCAGCCCCCAACTAAAACCTCTCCAACGCATTATCAAGGATCTACAACCTATCCTGAAGGATGACCCATCACTCTCACAAGACCAGTCCTTGCCTACAGACAGCCCCCCAACCTGAAGGAAATACTCACCAGCAACCACACACCACACAACAGAACCACTAACCCAGGAACCTATCCTTGCAACAAAGCCTGTTGCCAACTGTGCCCACATATCTATTCAGGGGACACCATCATAGGGCCTAATCACATTAGCCACACTATCAGAGGCTCGTTCACCTGCACATCTACCAATGTGATATATGCCATCATGTGCCAGCAATGCCCCTCTGCCATGTGCATTGGTCAAACTGGACAGTCTCTATTTAAAAGAATAAATGGACACAAATCAGATGTCAAGAATTATAACATTCATAAACCAGTCAGAGAACACTTCAGTCTCTCTGGTCACTTGATTTCTGATCTCAAAGTGAGTATCCTTCAACAAAAAAACTTCGAAAACAGACTCCAACGAGAGACTGCTGAATTGGAATTAATTTGCAAATTGGATACAGTTAACTTAGGCATGAATAGAAACTGGGAGTGGTTGAGTCATTATACTAAGTGAAACTATTTCCCCTTGTTTATTCCCTCCCCCCCCCCCCCCCCCACTGTTCCTCAGATGTTCTTGTTAACTGCTGGAAATGTGCGGGAAATGGCCCACCTTGATTATCACTTCAAAAGGTTTTCTCTCCCCCCACCCCACTCTCCTGCTGGTAACAGCTCATCTTAAGTGATCACTCTCCTTAAAATAAAAAAAAATAAAAAAAAAAAGGAGTACTTGTGGCACCTTAGAGACTAACCAATTTATTTGAGCATGAGCTTTCGTGAGCTACAGCTCACTTCATCAGATGCATACCGTGGAAACTGCAGCAGACTTTATATATACACAATACATTGTGTATATATAAAGTCTGCTGCAGTTTCCACGGTATGCATCTGATGAAGTGAGCTGTAGCTCACGAAAGCTCATGCTCAAATAAATTGGTTAGTCTCTAAGGTGCCACAAGTACTCCTTTTCTTTTTGCGAATACAGACTAACACGGCTGTTCCTCTGAAACCTCTCCTTACAATGTATATTTTTTCATGGTCTGTGTGTATATATAAAATCTCATCACTGTACTTTCCACTTTATGCATCCGATGAAGTGAGCTGTAGCTCACGAAAGCTTATGCTCAAATAAATTGGTTAGTCTCTAAGGTGCCACAAGTACTCCTTTTCTTTTTGCGAATGCAGACTAACACGGCTGCTACTCTGAAACCAATGAATAATGTGTTAACCTCATGACCTACATAACTCAAAAACTAGGACTTCAGTGTGGGACCTTTCTTTGCTCACTGTTATTTATATTTGGGGCTTATGACTTTGTGTTTATTTTTTCTATATTTTCTCATTTATTTTATGCAGATTATTACTTGCTACCTGGATCAGGACCAGAGATGAAATAAGCAATACATAGCCACATTTTACAACAATTAGCTTATCAGTTAAATGATCACATATCAAATTTAATTAATTAATCATAGACATTTTTAACGGATGTTTTATGTTTTTGTCCTGGATTTCTTGCCACTTGTACTTGGCAATTAAGGACATGCCCTCTAAATAAAAAACTGAACTCTACAAAAATTAGTAAGCAACATCTGCTTTATATTCTGCAAATTCTGCTTCTCAATTTTTTGCATTAGTGGCATTTTCCCAGTTTAAACTGGACACAGAAAATCTTCTTTTACTTTGTTTTTAATGACATCTTCCTACCAGCCAGCACTTGTCCCCAAAAATATCCTTTGCACAAGACTAGCTTCATATCACCGCTGGAACAAAAACACTGAAAATAGGAACATTGTGTTCATTCCTTCACATAACATGTTTACTCTTTCCCTATTACTGAGTAAGGGCGTGAAAGCTAGAAGATGTCAGTTTAAATTGTTTCTTTTAAAAGAAAAAAAGACAACTTTTTTTTAATCTGCCTACAGTTTAACAACCTGAAAATTTTCAGCTGTTTTGAGTCCATTATTGAAATAGGACAACATATGATTGATTTTCCCCTAGATTGTCGATCTATTTCTGCAATCAGTGGAGTCCCAGAAAAAAGAACCATTTTAGGGGCAATTGCCCTTTAGCTGCCATTAAAAATAATGTATCTGTTCGGTTGCCCTACTGGAACCAGCAGACTCAGTCCAACACTCATTCTATTCAGCTGTATGTGATTGATCTGAGCCTCAAAGACTGGAGCTGGAGTTGGGGTGTTAGGATCCAAGATTTTGGTTTGAGCTCATCTCTAGTCCTTCATTACCTGACTTAGAGCCATGTTTCCTTATTTTTATTGCTTAATCCCCAAACCCACAGGCATTTGGGTAGCTTTATTCATGCAAGTTGTCCCACTGATTTCAAAGGGACAACTCACTTGAGTAAAATTACTCAAGCGTTTGCAGGATTGTCCCCATAAAACCCAATCATGCAAAAAATATGCATGTGAGTAACTTTAACTAGGTGAATAGTCCCATTGACTTCAGTGGAACTTCTCACATGAATAGCTTCTTTCACATGACTAACCATTTGCACGATCAGGTCCTTATTTTGCTCCTTATACCTGTGATATGCAATAAAAATGCTAAAATAATTAATTTTATCCTGGGCTTAAAAAGATTTTTCTCATCTGAATTGTTCTTGATATTCTCCATCTCTGATGTTACTCTGAAACCATTTATTTTGCCAGTTCAGTTTTAGAATTCGTTTGAAAAAGACTCATTGTAATCCTGTATCTGACAGCAGCAGAGGGCGCTGAAACCAGCTACATAGCCTGCAGGGGGATTTTTCCTAACTGCGCTGTGGGTTTCCCCATCTAGGGATTTCCTACACTTTGCTTGAACCAGAATTGTTATAAAGAGCTGAGTAACTGTCACAACTGTCATTTTCAGAGCTGCAGACTCACGCCGTGTTTCTTCAGAGAGAACAGAGATCCAGGATTTGGAGCTTGCTTTCTTTTCTTTAGATAGCAATTGCAAAAAGTTAGACAAATGGGAAGAATAATTCCATCAGTGACAGTGCTTTTACTGGTGTTTGTGACTTGTGAGTTTTTGTTTGGTTACTTCATTAATTAATTGTTGTAATTAATTTGAATTTTCCTTTATTTTAGAATCATTTCTCTTTACGGAAAATTATTTTATATTTCAGTAAATAAAAATTTGTTAATCTCAATTAAGATGTTTTGTTTAAATAGCAAGAAAATTGTATTCAGCACTGACTATTCTGTAGTAATGCAATCATTTTATAATTTAGTTTGCTACAAAATTTATTGCACAATAGAATCACAGAATCAGAGTTCTCTAGCACATCACTGTAGGTTTGATTTTATTATCCCTGAAGCATCCTTGATAGATATCAGTCAAGTATAGTATCAGTCCAGTATATCTGCAGTGAAGGTGATTCTATAACCTCCCTTGGTAACTTATTTACCTATTAGTCTACTGCAAAGTTTTAGAGACAGATCCCAGCTGGTGTAAAGTCGTGTAGCTCCATTGACTTCAATGGATTTACATTGTTCATCAGTTGATTAGTTAATGTGTATAGAGTATTTTGGAGATGGAAAGCACTATTTAAGTACTAAGTATTATTAGTTTAACTTTCCCTATGCAACTATTAATTTAAAAATAGTAAAACATCAGGCAGGCTTTAATAATCTCATATACCATACTAGATTGCTAGTGCAAAGGAGAACATGAGCAATGAATGCTGCTGAGTTTGCATTTTTCTCCCTTTTCAGCTAAAGCTTTTGAAATTGAGGTTACACCTGAATACAACGTTGCTGCTCAGATTGGAGATAAACTTGAGCTGACCTGTAGTACAATTGGCTGTGAATCCCCAAGTTTCTCTTGGAGAACCCAGATGGACAATCCCCTCGGTGGGTCAGTGTACAATAACGGGAGCAGCTCCACCTTGACTATGGATCCTGTTGGCTTTGGGAATGACCATGAGTATCTCTGCAGTGCATTTTGTGACAATGTGAAAAAAGAAAAAAGCATCAAGGTTGACGTTTACTGTAAGTGATTTGTTCCCTTTACATGTGACATTGGTGCAATGCTCATTCATAATAAATGTGACTAATCATTCCTACAGTGGAGGGTCAATTATATCCCTTGCACAACAGTTCTGGTATGGTTTAAACATATATTTTCTGGTAGGGGTCATAGATTGGTGCAGGGATTTCTTATTAGGCATCTTGAACTAGGCTCCCTAGAGTGAATTTAATCTTCCTGGTTTTATGTGCTCTTGGTGTTTTCCTCAAAGCATATGAAAGCCAGAAGATAATCCACTTGAAGTGTTCAAAAAGCTGAAAAAAATATCCTCTGGGTGGAAATGTTTGGGGAAAATTTGAGTATAAAGGGCCTGATCCAAAGCCCACTGAAGTCAAAGGAAGTCTTTCTGTTGATATCAGTGGGTATTGGATCTGGCCCTTAGGACCAAATCCTGCCCGCCCTACTGATGCAAATTTCTCCATTGACTCCAACAGGCCTTCTCTTGTGAAGTGAGCAGGAGTTGACTCGTATTAGAGGGATTTTGTAAACTCACTCTGCCTGCCACTATATTAGCTGCAGATACAAGGCATGCTTCTACACCACTAAAACCAATAGCAGTTTTGCCATTGAGTTTGTTGGGAACAAATCAGTCCCATACACCTTAATATTTTGGCTTGGTATGGGAAGGTCTTTACATTTAATGGTAGCTGCTGTTATTTGGGAGCCACATTCAATAGCTATTGGGGATAATAATTAAAATTAATAGAAGCTGGGCCTTCTAAATGAAGATACAGCACACGCTATGCCTTTTTATTCCAATTATTTCCAAGAACAGTATTATTGCTGTCTGTCACTAATTTAGAATATATGTTAGCTGTTATTTTCTAATTCTATCAGTTAAAAAAGATCAGTATTTTTCTATCTTTTCATAAAATGCCATGATGTTTTTAACATGGACATGTATTAAAAGGAAAGATGAATCCAATCTATACCCCAGATACTAAGACCTCCAACTCTGAGTGTGTGTGGGGAAAGAGTCTGGAGGGTCAAAACCCCAAAATATGGACCCATATTTCATGACTGTACTGGACTAAATCAAAATCCAGGTTGTGAACACGTGAACTTGAGGGTGTTTGAATTCTGGCTCTAGTTTCAGTGGTTGTCTCTTTGGCCTGTCTCTAGTAAAAAGTAACTAGTATTGTTCTTTTAGCTTTTCCCAGTGCACCAGTCATTGAGATCAGCACACCCCTGAATGTTGGGGAAAAAGCCAGTGCCACCTGTATGGTTCCCAAAGTGTATCCTTCTGAGCGTTTGAAGTTGCAGCTAGAGAAAGATGGATCTGTTCTTGACATGAAAGAGTTTTATGAGGAAGTAAGCACCAAAACCACAGAGACAAAAAGTCTGACATTGACTTTTATCCCCACCTTTGAAGACATTGGGAAAGAGATTACTTGTGTGGCTGAATTAGAGATTGATGAAATGGAATTTGAACCCAAGAAAAGACAGACTTCACAGAGATTGAGTGTAAACTGTAAGTATATTTATATTAGGGGTTTCAAACCAAATTAGGATTCATGGGCCAGGGCTACAAAGTTAGGGATATAAACAAAAGTACTCCTGATCCACACTGGGTCTCACACTGATGTCAGTGACTGTACTGTACAAAGATCAAGGATAGGACATGGCCCTTAGGTCATATCATCTCTGGGCACAGTCTTGTAATCCCTTCATGTGAAGAATAACCATTGACTTCAATGAGCGTTCTCCACATGGAGCACCCGGGGTTGTTAAAGTTAACTGTTGCATTCAGTAACAATGAAAAATAGCTATGCATGTCAACCTTCAGCACCACCATTGTGGCTCATTCCTCTCTCCTTTTCTTTGGTAGCTGGTGCAGAATTCAGTCAGAGGGCAAACACACACAGTCTGAATCAGAGAGAGCAATAACTGCCTAAGCAGAGGTGCTTTTTTGAAAAATTTCCCTTGAATGCCCATGTAATTCCCATTTTAGTCAATGGGATCCACATGCATATATCAGGGAGCAGAATTTTGCTCTAAGCAGTTCCTCTTGGAAAACCTCTAGTGTTGATTCCTCACTGAGCTCTCTGGGAAAATTGTTCTATTGTCCTATTGACATCACAGCTTTTGAAATGTTTCCCAATATCTGAAGTGTTTCCCTGAGATCATTTAGCCTCAGACAAGGATCGCATGTGTCATTAACTTAGCTCATTGAGCTTTTCTCTTCTGTTTTCTTCTAGTTGGTCCACAAAATGCTAACATCACTGTGTCTCCAAGCAACATAACCACGCAGGGGGAAACGCTAATGCTCACTTGCAGGACTACAAGTAATCCACCAGCAAGGATTGTTTGGGGAAAAGAGCTAGAGGATTCAAGTGTGCAGCACATTATAGACAATGACACCCTAATCATTCCACATGCCCAGATGAGTGATTCTGGGCTGTTCATCTGTGAAGCCATGAATGACGCAACGAATAAAACAGAGAGAGCAACAGTGGTCATTTCTGTACAAGGTATGAGCCTGCAAGAGTTTGACTTGTCTGGTTCTATGAAGCATATAATTTCAACTGATCTACAGGTGACTCCTGAATGAACAAAAGAGTGGGGACCCTGAAATAATGGAACTGGGAAATTTCAGGGTCCTCACTACTGTATATTCAGGAGTCAATTATAGATATGCTACTGCTATTCAGGAGTCATGTTTGTCATTGTAAGGTCTGATGTTTCTCTCATTAGAATGCCTGATGTTTCATTGCTTCTCTCTTTTTACTCTCAAGCTAAGATAAACATATACATAGCTCCCCCAGTCAATGGCCCAGTGTGGGTATGATTTCTCCCAGGTCCTCTGGGTGACTTACCCAACCCACATTTAAGTGTCCCCTCCGAAACAGGCATTTAACAGCCTCTCTAGCTCCATGTGAATATGGTAATCACCCTAAACGTGTAAGGGACAATAACCTCCTTTAAGACTGGAATGCCACTATACAACTAGCTGTGTGCAGCACATTGCCCAGGAGCCCTGTGTTGCTCCCAAAATCTTCTGGCTAATTATGTTTCCAGGTGGTTTATGTATGCAGCCAGGCTGCAAACATATGTGACTTTGTCCTATGAAACCTGCTGAGCCATCTGACATTTAAATAAATTGTGTGTCAAATGTTATCTTTGAAAGCTATGAATTTCTGAGCTCAGAATAGTCTTTTAGAGACTATTTCCTCCAGCAAAGTTTAAAATATGATGAATTATAGATGTCATCTGTTATCTGCTTCATTGACTACCTCTTTGAAATCTCACCTGAAAATCAATCTTTTCACCTATCCCTATGCCTTTTAATTAAATTCTCCTTTTCCTTATTGTAATTGTATTATACAATTCTGTTATGACAGGCCCAGTCCTGTAGGTCCTGCCTTTGGCAAAACTCAAATTCAGATTCAGTCCCTGAAAAAGAACTGCAGGATCATTCCCTATAATATTTATTTGTTTACTTAAAATATAAGATGGTTGCCAAGAGACCTGGGTGCATTGCCTCAATCAAAACAATCAGACATTGACAAGTCAGAGTCCCTTGCTTCACCATTATTTATTAATTCTTTTTCAACCCCATACAGCACTATTAGGAAATTTCATAATGTGATTCACATGTCTGACTGGAGGTGTACACAATAATGTTATCCCTATAATGAATCCAGTTTAACTACATCTGGACAGCAACATCACACAAAAAAATATACAATAGAATTCATGATCAAAATTCCCAAGGGGTGTCATTCTAGCCTCTAAGGCCCCAATCCTGTAATAAGCATCCTCTGGACAGATCCCTGCACACCCAAAGAACTCATTGCAGGATCAGGGCCCAGTTTGGTACTTGCAATTGACTGCAGGCAGAAATGTGACAATGTAGGGGGTCTGCCACCCACATTCTTAAAACCCAGCATTACTTTGGTAACTATTTCTCCTTTAATAGAAAGGCCTTCCCTCTTTTCATGCAGGGGCACCAAGAATTACAGAGTTCTCCATACAACCCTCCACAACTGTTCAAGAAGGAGATAATGTTACCATCCTGTGTTCTGTTGAAAGCAACCCTGCTGCCAGGATTGTCTTAAGGAGAAAATCAGACAGTGAAGACACTGTGCTTTATAGTGAGGATGGAGTTGTCCATATCTCAAGTGTGACGTTCCTAAATGCAGGAAACTACGAATGTGAAGCAGAGAATGCACTGGGGGAAAGCAAAATGGCAGCAGAACTTAGCGTCGAATGTAAGTGTAAATTATGCATTTCCTATGACCCAATAAAATAGTTCTGTGAACTGCTCATCATTTACTTCGTTGCTGGATATAATCCTCAAAATAAAACCAAGTCTAAGAAGTGAACTGAGCCTGTTAGGAACAGCCCCTAGTAAGGGGAGACCTGGAGCAGCCATTATCTCTTTAAGACAGAATGCCCCCTGGAACTCCACAGTTGCCCTGGGAGGGATACCATAATTTGGATGCAGTGTACTCCTCCCTCCCTGTGTGGCTGGCCAGAATGAAGAGCAGAACAGAACCATGCTTCTGCCTACCTCTGGTCTACCCCACGCACTTTTTGGTGCGTTGCTCCCTGGGGAGAAGTAACACAGTCACATCCTCCGCAGTCCCCTGAGCACAGGGGCTGTGAATGAGTGGCCCATATAGGGGCTGTACAAAAGGAGAGGGGAATCGTCCCAATGTGCAGTGTGTAAGGCCTGTCCCCATTTAGCCCTCAGAGTGATGGCAGTCTCAGGTCAAGTACTGAGTGGGGATTGAGACAGTACTGCCCTCCCACCCATATAAACATACCCTCTTGGTCAGGACTGAGGCACATTGGCTAAGGAGGGCTTGCATTGAAGCTCCAAAGCTATCTGTGCTGTATTTGATTTGAGGATAAATAGGGGATTTCAGTGTCCAGGCTGACAATCTAGCACCTAATAAAGAACCCTCTCATTGCTCCTGTTATTAATAATTTTAGATGGACCAAGAAATACGACAATCTCTGTCACCCCCTCCACCACAGTGAAAGAAGGGGAAGCTGTGATAATGACATGTACTAGCTACGGTAATCCAACTCCAAAGATCTCCTGGACAAAGCATTTGATCAGTGGAGAGTTGCAGTTTCTTTCTGAAGATGCAACTTTGACTATAAATAACATAAAGGCTGAACACTTGGGGCTTTATGAATGTGAAGGAGTTAACCAGTTTGGAAGAGAGAAAAAAACTGTGAACTTAATTGTTCAAGGTGTGTACAACATGATACGTTGTAAGCCTTGCTTCGAAACGTTAGGGTTAATCTTGCTCAGACTGAAATCTGTGAGAATTTTGCCTTTCACTTCTGTGAGGTCAAGAATGGCCCTTAATTATTCAAGGTAAAATTTACCTCATGCAAAGCTCTTTGAATCACTAGAGCCCCACTGGGTACAACTACACAGCCACTGGCAGCCTGCAGAAAGCCTCCACGCTGGGGCGACAGACTCAGGCTCAGAGGGCTTGAGATACAGCACTAAAAATAGCTGTGGTGGCAGCATGTTTAAACTGTGGCTTGGCCTGGAGCTTGAGCTCTGACCCCTAGGGAGAGAGGTGGGCTTCAGAGCCCAAGCTCCAGCCCAAGCCACAGTATCCGCACAGCGATTTTTAAGAGGTAGCACATCCCCCACGAGCCTGAGGCTGTCAGCCCAGGCTGCCATGGGCTGTGTAGACATACAATAGTGCCTCTGCCTCGGGGGTCGGGAGGTGGTTGTGTTAAGCAGCCACACAGGGGAGCTTCTATATTCCCTGCACACAGCAGCTAGAGTTCTGGCCTGGCTTCAGGTGCCCGCATGTAAAAGGTGTCGAGGGGATGCTGGTTCTAAATGACCAGTCTGGAGGGAGTGCCTGTGGACTGGGGTTGTGAATCCTATTCTCCCATGCCCTGCTGCATTTCATACTGAAAACTTGGCTGCTTGGGCTTTTGTGCAGGGAGAGATTATTATTCTTTTGGTTGTCTCTTGGGATGAGGGAGCCCATTTGAGGAAAACATCTGACCTTGACCTTCATCAGAGATGCAAAGCAAACTAAACCTGAACTTGTTTAAGGGTAAAAAAATTTTTAACTATATAACTCTACTTACCTTATCTTGGTGCTAGACAGGTAGGTAGATACACATACACTTTAGTAAGAAAAGGAGGACTTGTGGCACCTTAGAGACTAACCAATTTATTTGAGCATAAGCTCCAATGAAGTGAGCTGTAGCTCACAAAAGCTCATGCTCAAATAAACGGGTTAGTCTCTAAGGTGCCACAAGTACTCCTTTTCTTTTTGCGAATACAGACTAACACGGCTGTTACTCTGAAACACACTTTAATGAACTTAGTAAACCTGAAAGGTGCCAAATTGACAGTGCTGCTATATAAGTGCGTAGTATTGTTGCTTATTATTAATTGATAACATAAATTATTGTATTAATAGCAATTTACAAAAAAAATCACAAGTGGCCTTTCAGTAATATTTTGGTTTCTCTGCCTCTGCTCTGCTACTTGTGTTTACTGTACAGTAACACTGTATTGCCCAGGGATCACTTCTGTAAACTAATCTGCCTTCCCCTCATTCTTTACTTTTTTGCAGTTCCACCAAAAGACACAATGCTTTCAGTTTTCCCTTCAGACACTGTAAAAGAAGGAGACAGTGTTACCTTCTCTTGCACATCTGAAGGTATTCCGGCTGTTCAGATCATCTTGAGGAAGAAATCAGGAGGTGCGGACACAGTGCTTGTGTCCGAAAGTGGCAGATATACCATAGATGGGGCTCAGCTAGAGGATGCAGGAATGTATGAATGTGAATCCAGCAACAAGTTGGGACAGCAATTTAAAAACAGAATGCTTGATGTCAAAGGTCAGTTAACATAATGTTCTCTATGTTAATGAAGTGTGTGTGTGTGTGGGGGGGGGGTTCTGCTAAAGGCATAAAACATGGTCTAAAATATCAGCCAATTTCTTCAGACTCTAGATTTTGGGGTCATTTTTTGTCATTCCCTAGGATTTTAATGTCGTGTGTGTCATGTAGTGAGTTACCTAGGGTCTTGTCATACATAATTAGTAGGAACACATCAACAGTGAGGGCTGTTCTCCAGAAAGATTCAGACATCAGAAAACAATTGTTCTCCAAAATCTTTTAACAGTCCCTTACATTGGGGTCCCTCAAAACAAGGTTTGAAACAGTGGAATGCTAATGACTTTCTCACATGTCTGAAGGCTGGGCAGACATGCTCTTTTTTAGCCTCTGATCTTTTGTCTTTGCCTTTTCTGTGCCTATTCTGTAGAATGAGGACTTCAGAAGCCATGCTTGTCTATTTTTCTTCTTTCATGAATATACATAATCACTTTAAATTAAAAAAAAAGAAAGAAAAAAAGTTCGGTATAGTGAAGTGTGCTACGTCCATCAATTAATAAAATATCTTTCCTGCCAGCAGCCTTGTGTGAAGACTAGAGAGTACCTTTAGCTAGTGATCAAGTAGATTTTAAGAAAAAATTTTAGTGAATCATTCAACTGAATTAAGGCCCTGAGAACCCGCTGTAGTTTGTCAGTCTCTACATGTGCATTTAAATCTTACCCTACATTTTCTTTCTTTTTAGTTCCTCCCCAGAATACTACAGAGTTAATATCTCCATCAGACAATGTTGATGAAGGGGAAAATATCACTATTATGAGTACAACCTATAGTAATTTACCTCCACAGACTGTCCCACAAAAGATCCATCCAAGCAACACAACCATCCTCTCATCACAGAATGAAACCTCTACGCTCTGTAGAGTCATCAAAACTGATACAGACACATACCTGGTTGCTTGCAATGAGACTGGAAATAACACTGATGTGATTGAGATAGCTGTTGTAGGTAGGCATATGTGTTGCTTTGAACTTACTTGTATTGTTACCTTCCAACGATTGAAAGGTTGCTGTTAGCACAGCTAGTGTACTGTTCACCCACGCATAGATATACCCTGGTTAGTGGTGAAAAACATACCAGAACAGTTCACTAGTGAATATCAGTAATGTAATAGCCTCCTATACAGCACTGATACTCTTGGCAATGCTACCCCAAAGTGGCACAGTGGCTCAAGGGAGGTGGGGAGAAGGCAGGGATAGCCCCACTTCCTCTATGCACCAGTCTGCAGAGCAAGATTGGCACATAGGGAGAAGAAGCCTGCAGCCCACAAAAGGAGGTAGAGGGTGCCCTGTTGTGTGCTAGGGAGCTGCTGGAGGCACTCTGTCTGCTTGAGGGAGAATGCCTCTTGGTCCTCCCTGGAGCAGTCAGCTTACAACACCCTTTATTATATACTATGCCAAACAGGCCTGAACTTACGTAAGACTAACAAACCCAAGACCAAGACACTAAGCAATGATTAAGTTGATTAGAGAGGGTGTTTACTGAAGACGAGAATGTAAGACAGATTGCTTGAAGAAGTGGGTTTTAAGAAGGGATTTGAAGGAGGATGGAGAGTGCGATGCAGATGAGAACCAGGGGAGCGTTCCAGTTGAAGGCAGTAGGGTCTGTCCCGTTGCAATAGCTGGGGCACTGCTCCACTCAGAAAAATGAGAAACTGAAACCATAATAAAGTCAATTCACACAGTCTTAGCTGTTAACATGAGACGATAGCTCTTTCAGAGCAGGATCCATGTGGAACAGCTGCTCCAGTGCCCCAGACTATATCATGCACATGTTCACATTCACTTTGGAGCACCAGGGGAGAACATCATGGAGCACAGTACTAAGGGGCACTTGCTAAGATACCCTGAATTAGTGAGCGTAAGTGGAGCTCAGGAAAGCTAGAGTTCCCCTGTGCAAATCTTTGTCCGATAGACACCACTGGGCATAGGGAACTGCATTATAAAAAGTGTGAACCAATTTTTGGGGGAGGAGTCAGGAGATGATGGCAACAGAAAGATGAACAGATTGGAAAGAGGGTAGGAAGGGGAAAGAGGGAGAAATGGGATCAGAGATGTAGATGTACCAAGATTACAGAGAGCCTTGTAAATGTGGACAAAACCTTGAATTTGATGCAGTAAGAGATAGGAATCCAGTGAAAGAATTCAATGGGGTCAGATAAGATGCTCAAAGCTGGAGGAGAGGAAGATGACATAACAGTAGCATTGCCTTTACAGTGATGTGCATACATCTACTTGTAACAGTTTTTAATCAACTTCTTCTGTCTCCTCTTTTTTTCCTCTCTCTCTCTCTCTCTCATTTTGCAGAAATAGTGAAAGAAACAGATTTAATGATTCCTGTGATTGTTGTGCTCTCTTGTTTATCAACAATGGCAATCCCTGCACTTGCAATATTGGTTTACATGTCAAGGAAAGCAAAGATAAATGGATCCTACAGTCCTGTAAACACACCGAAACCAAATGTTTAAGCGAGTGACTAACCTTCTTCATTCCATGACATAATATGACATGCAAGTGACTTTTTGTAACACTGTCATGTGAAAAACATGAAAAAATGGTCTGTATTGTGATAAATACAACACCCTTTACATTAGAGGGGAAAATAAGACACTACCTTAGAAATAGATGAATCGCTTCCCTATTGAAGCATGCTCAACAAGAAGAGTTCTTTGAAGTGCGAAGTTTGTAGATAGTATCCCATTTCCTGTACATATGTATTATAAACATATTCAAGTGAACACCAGTTTGGAAATTTCAATATGCTATTGCAGCTGTATATAGAAATGTTGTTTCCTGAGATATAAATCAACACTATTTTAACTGATTAGACTATTTTGGCATTATTTAATAGTGAGTGTTTTAAATATAGTTTGTGTAAATGTTTGTTGGTGGTACTTTCCTACTGCATGTAATGTGTTCCAGGTCCTCCTCTTAGTTATACCAACATAACTCCATTGGCTCCACTAAAACTGCATAGTATAAATAAGAAGAGAATTCAGCTTTTTGTTTCTAATTAATTGTCACAAATGTAAATCCTTTAGAGTCAATTAAAAACTTTTAAACATTTGTTTAATAAATGTGCCAAAACTTTTGATACGCATGTAACAGTTATAAATGTAATTCAGCAAGTATCTATTTGGGCTTAAGGTACAATCAACTGTAGCATGTGTGATATACATGTAGCAATGGTATGGTATTTATTTGGGGTCTTGTCACTTTAAAGTATATAGCAAGATTTCCATTGACTTCACTGTGGGCAGGCCCATAATTTAGAAGTTAACTCTAAATAGACATGCTTTATAAACTTTCACACTAAAGTAAATCCACCTTGGGGTATTGCTGTTAATCATAAATGGTAATAAGGCTCCAATACACATATTCAACTCTTATTGAATAGACACAGAATTTATTAGACGCATCGTAAAAAAAAAATTGACCTAACATATTTAGATGAAATTTCTAAATATTTCACTGTCTCCTGTTCTTAGTGCAGTATTTTTGTTCATAGAAATGTTTATTGAGTTGAAATTCCCAACCAATGCCTGGGTAATAGTGAGATGCAACATGTATGTTTGCTATATTCCCACTTGTTAATCCTTATTTCTTTGAACAGCAAAGTGGTCAAAATGCTGAAACTAGGTGGTGTATTTATTCATTTTGTTTTCTATCTTGTATGGTGTGTGGCAATAATGAGATCCAGGACACAGACTGGCCTGTATGAGGGAAAACTCAGGGAGTTAATGTGTACATTCTACAAATGGCACCAACACAAAAGCAGCAGCTGCTGTGGACTTAGTAAGTGTTACGGGTTAGTTGTCACAAAGCAGTCCTGGGTACTAGAAATTTCTGTCAGGAGAAGAAAAGAAGAGATGCCAGTCTGTTAATCTATGTAAAAGGCACCTAACATGCTGCTTCTGCCAATCCTGAAGAGAAAATGATCTTCCCTAGTTAAGGAAGCATGTGATAAAGCAGGACTCAGGGCCTGGAGCACAACTCCAAAGGAGTAAAAAGTCTGCCAGGGTCATCTCTTCTTAACAATACTTTGGGCCTGGCTGGGCCTCTCAGAGTTGAAATTGCTCCCTAGAACTTCACACAGGTTCTCTCCCTTCTGCTTGGAAAGGGGGACCACAGTCTCTGTGGCATCATTGTGATGCTGGCAGGCCAGGTGCCAAGGCTTTAGGTCTCAGCCAAGCCCTGAAAAATTAATTGCTGGGAACCTGTCTCTCTGTTAGTATGATTAAGAGGGTATTGAACTTATAACAACGTGTTTAGACCTTCCTTATGAAATGCTTGTAAGTTGCTGCATGCCTTAACATCACAGATAATTTCTTTATCATGTTATACCATAACATTTTTTTTGCTTTGTAACTATACAAACTGTGAACCCAGGCAGGAGGGATCATCTACTGCCCCTCAAGAAGGCCTATCAAAAATAAGTGCATGACAGTGGAACATCACAATACAAAGACAGTGTTAATTATCCCCTTGCACCCATAAAGAGGCTATGTGCAAAAGGGCTTGTCCCATAAGCTTGAATTCTGGAAGAAGGAAATAAAAACAGCTGACAAGAAATTTTTTCCATCTCTTTTGCTGTTTGACTCTTACAGGGCCAGAGCTACGAAACAGAATCTGAGATCCGCAGGGTCAACCTGGGTTAGCCCTAAAAGACATTTAGAGCTGACAGATCACTACAACATTATCACTTTGTAAAACCATAGACTAACTCATTTGTACGTATGTAATTCTTTTCTTAGTTAATAAATCCTTAGATAGTTTACTATAGATTTGGCTACACTATTGTCTTTGGCCTGAGTTCTAAGATACCAATTGACCTGCGGTAAGTGATTGGTCTCCTGGGACAGGGAGTAACCTGAATGTTTTGTGATCTTTGGTGTAGAGCAGTGGTTCTCAAAGCCGATCCACCGCTTGTTCAGGAAAAGCCCCTGGCACGCCGGACCGGTTTGTTTATCTGCCGTGTCCGCAGGTTTGGCCAATCGCGGCTCCCAGTGGCCACAGTTCGCTGTTCCAGGCCAATGGAGGCTGCGGGAAGGGCGGCCAGCATGTCTCTTGGCCCGCGCCGCTTCCTGCGGCCCCCATTGGCCTGGAGCAGTGAACCGCAGACAGTGGGAGCTGCGATCAGCCAAACCTGAGGACGCGGCAGGTAAACAAACCAGTCCAGCGTGCCATGGGCTTTCCCTGAACAAGCGGTGGACTGGCTTTGAGAACCACTGGTGTAGAGCATTACATCTAGCTTGCCTGGGTGGTGAGATGGACTGGAAGGCCCAAAGGGATGGTCTGTGACACCACAATAAGACTGTTAGTGCTTTAGTAGTTCACATTTGTTACTGGGCTGCTGAAATCTAATTATAGCATATACAACCAGTTTGGGGCTTCTGCCCTGCTTCTTGACAGCCTGCCCTGAGGTTAGCACTCATGGTTGTGAGCCACTCCAGACAGCATGACAATCATCATCCTTCCTTCCATTCTAGTAGAGGGAGTGGAGACTGGCTACAAATCTTACCAATTCAGTCAATGTCCAGTATTAAAGAGAATAAGCACATGTGCTATTCCCATTTTATCTAAGCTATCAGGAACATACTCTCTTATATTGTTGTTAAATCACATTTATTGAAAACCACTTCCTACTAACACTTCATGTTAATTACAGAAATAAGTATCTTAAAAATCACCTCCAGTTCTCAGCAAGTTTCTTTCATATCTCAACTCATCACAGAAGGGTTCAATTATTAACATTTCTTTTGTTTCCATTAATGTTATCTGTAAGTGTAAATATACGTACACATGTCACTGTTAATATAATTCAACATTTTAGAATTTTTCAAAACAATGCATATAGATAATCGCATTTGTAATTTCTCACTAATACCCAGGAGAAAGTAACATTGGGAGTGCCTCTGTTAAAACACTACAGAGTACATTGTTTAAATATACATTATCAACACAATAAATTCTTCAAACATGCAGTTCATACAATTCCAAACTTCACAACAAATTTTATTTTTTATTCATATCTATTACATTTATTGAAAACCCGCAATTATAATACAGGGGAAAAAATCACAGCTATGAGCTGTATTTGAATGTAGTACTACATTAATTGAGACAATCCCAAAGAATAAGAATGGAAAACATTTTACCACAATAATCCAATGACCTAGTGCATTGTAAGAAAGTATATCATTTTGCACGAATTCATTTAAAAAAAAAGAGAGAGAAAAGATCTGTAGTTATATGGGTCAATTAAGCAAACTACGTGCTCGAGCCTATACTGTATTTTCCAGTTTAAATAATTGCTTAAGTACCTGCTTACCTTTATTCATTCTCTTATATCACATTGTATTTACTGGTTTCAGAGGAACAGCCGTGTTAGTCTGTATTCGCAAAAAGAAAAGGAGTACTTAGTCTCTAAGGTGCCACAAGTACTCCTTTTCTTTTATTGTATTTACTGTTACTTAAGACTGTGCTTAGCTGACGGTGCTTTGCCCTCAGGGTGGCATGAAAGATCATTAACATTTACCATCTCAAATTTCATTTCTCTGTCACCTTGACAGAATGCTAGTGGAAACTACTCCAGAGGTGGCATGGCTTATACCTGTTTATGCATAAGCTTGTATTAAATGGATTAATCATTCTGGCACACAAAGAATATGATGTAGTTCATAACTACATACCTAGAAGGGATACTCACCGTTAAAAATAAACTTGATATGGAACACAGATTACAAGCATTTCTTTATTTTTAACACCCATATGTTCTGTCATGCTTGTTTTAAAAACTGACTAACCAGTGCAGATACCAGTGTTCATGGCCCCACTGAATTCTATAGTAAAACTAATGTTGCCTTCAACATGTCAAGTACTGTACCTCAGGTCTATAAATCAAAATACTATTGAATACATGTTTGGCAGCAGGAAATACAGCAAACTGCTGCAGCTGTTGCTTTATATTCACACTTCCATGCTATTTGGACTTGAATATTTTTTTAAAACCATTATTTTGACCTTTTCATTAATGATATAATATTTCCATGTAGCGACATAAGAAGTAGCCCTACCTTTGTGCTTGCTTTCTCAACAATGCACTCAAATTCACATTGATCACCTACAATGAGGAAAAAGTTAACTTTTCAAAAACATTTGATGAATCAGTTGCCATCCACGTTCACTGTTATTTACCTTATCACCGAACTTGCTTATTGTCATCAGGCCATGAAATGAAGGACTGTGCAAACTCATTTTTCTCACTTTTGCCTCCAGTCTGGCTGTAATTTTGTGGGTCTGCACAAATGTTACTAGACAAGAAATTTAACACATATTAGCACCTAATACAATCTCCTTTTTCTCTGTTTCACCATTGTGTATTCTGTCATTTGTTTGCTGATATTTTTACCTTTCACCATACTTAATAAGTTGAAGTATATTATCAAAATATATAAAAATTACATCAACGTGGTAAACAATTACCTTTGTGAAACCATTCTTTGTCTTCCATATCTTCCAGAAACATGTAATCAATATCACTTGAATTGCTGTTTTTAACTTCTACTGCTACTTATTTGTTTTCTTCTGCTGCCATACATTCCTTTTCCTCTGTGTCTGTGATCTCCAAGTTTATCACACTGCTGTCATCAGGGTTCTCTGCCATAATCACCACCTATTTTTCTAATAATGGCTGAGGGGATTGTTTTTTCAATATCACCCATATCTGTTTGGATGTTTTCCTTTGACAATCTCTTTTCAGTACCTAATGCTGGTGGCTTTTTAAGTGGGAGATACTGTACATATATCTGAAAGTCTTCCCTTATAAGGTTTCCACTTTAAATTTATTACTACAGAAGTGGTAACTTTGTATGGTCTTCAATAAATATTACAGTATCCCTCCCTTTCTTGTTCTCCTTCTTGCATTCAGTAACATAATGCATTCCCCAACCTTGCATGTTATTTTCCCATATTTAGAAATTTCTTCTAGAATAGTATATTTCTTGGTTTTGTTATGCTTTAGAAATATTACTAACAACCAATGCGATGTCAGTATCCATTGCAGTTTTTAGATTAATACTGTACTCTTTGTAGTATTTTTCACTGAATTCCTTGAAAGCATGTGGCTTTGTAAATAAATGGAGAAGGTATTGTATTCATGAAATGGAGAATCACAAACTAACATATTTACATGAAAGCTGATAGTATTTACATACACTTACAGTGTAATTCTCTGAAACTTGGTCTGGAAACCTTGTTTCATAACCATACAATAGTTTGAAAGGGTGACATTTTGGTTGTCATGTATGGTTTAGAACTCAAAGAAAAAAAACAAAGAAATTCATTCCAATTACTCTTGGTGTCAACCAATTTCCGCAATGCTTTGTAAAAGGTAGTGATTGATTAGTTTGTGCAAAGAAAGAAAGAGTTAATATAACATCTTGACTGAGACAAACTATACATAGAATCAACAAGGTGTAAGCTGGAGGACATTGCAATGTATTGTTATGATTATTTTTCATTTCATAAGAACATAAGAATGGCCATACTGGGTCAGACCAAAGGTCCATCCAGCTCAGTATCCTGTCTACCAACAGTGGCCAATGCGAGGTGCCCCAGAGGGAGTGAACCTAACAGGTAATGATCATGTGATCTCTCTCCTGCCATCCATCTCCACCCTCTGACATTTCACATGTGATAAAAAGACTTTGAAGATTTATTACCAATACAGAGGTTTCAGAGTAACAGCCGTGTTAGTCTGTATTCGCAAAAAGAAAAGGAGTACTTGTGGCACCTTAGAGACTAACCAATTTATTTGAGCATCACGAAAGCTTATGCTCTATTTGAGCATAAGCTTTCGTGATGCTCAAATAAATTGGTTAGTCTCTAAGGTGCCACAAGTACTCCTTTTCTTTTTACCAATACACAGTTTACAGCATGGTCCTGTCTACTTACCTTTACTATTGGAAAAAAATTACCTGTGGGTGGATTTGTTGGTGTTTGGGTTGAATAGGTAGAAGCTATGTTCTATCCCCATTTTTTTCACAAAAGGCAAGGTTAAACTGAAAAGAATTTATGCCTTAAACTTTCCTTTGGAAATGTGCACATTTATTTTCCTTTCCCTATTGATATTATGTGCTAGTACTGTGGTTTCCTATCCCATCTTTTAGTATTACTATGTGGAAAAAATAAATATGTTTGTAAATCAAATTGCTATTAATTTTTTTTTAAATTGTGTGAGGATCCATAGAAAAAGTTGTCAGCAATAATTTTCCATAAAGAAAATAGTCATGAGAACAATGAAACCAATGTTCACTGTTGAATATCTATGACCTGATTGTATAGTTGAAGAAATTGTGAAAAGAATCTCAAAAATAAGTCATTACCTCATTATTGAATTCAGAGCCATGAACTGTCATTATCTGCTCCAGCCATCCAAATCGATTTATAATCTTACAGATTTTCTTTACCATCTCATGTACTGTGTTATTTCTAAGTGGAAATGCTTCCACCCATTTTGTAAGATGATCTGTAGCTGTCAATATGTACTGGTTTCTTTTGTTACTGGTAATGGCCCCATTAAATCCATTCCCACCAATTCCCAGGGCCTCTGGACCTGTATGCAGGGATACAGGTTACACTTTGGATCTCTCCTAATGTTTTCTGGGATTTTCACAGTGGTTTAAACAACCACACAATCAGAATCCACT